AAATCGAAACTGTTCTACTTAGAGCAAAACATATTATAACAAAACTTGTGGCAAATATAACTTTTTTATACTAGTATAATTTTTCTAAAATAGTTTCTTTTTTACTTTTCGCTTTTCCTTTTCTTCCTTTCCCGTTTCCTTTATAACAATATTCAAGAAGTATGTTGATGTACAAGCACAAATGTTTTGATAATATTTCATACTTGCCCCCAGTAAATAGTACGGGGATGGCTTCAGTACGTTTGTGATAGGGTCAATGCCTAGAAAAGGAAGCCAGTGGGTTTTCTTCCTTATGAAGGATTTCCGGGGGGATAGATCTATTATTGCTCAGTAGAGCTGCATGCCAATTCAAAAGGCTGTTGGTTGTCTCCTACCTGCATAGGGCAATTAACAACCATTAAACAACTCAATGGTAGATTCAAAAAGCATTTCTCAGTGCTCGGTATAATGAAGCTTTAGGGATTGTAACCAGTCTTTATCCTGCTGTCAGTCCAGTACTTCACAACACATTGGCCTCCTGAGAAAAGAACACCATTACAAAAGGGTTGAAAAAATATTGCTGAAGATTCTGCTTTAGTTCAGTGTGGGTGAAATGACTGCACTGTGTAAAACTGTAAGCAGATTTTAGTAGCATTGGTCTGCAAAAGTTGATCAACAAATCTCAGGCCTGTGGCTTACGTGGTTTATATATGACTTTATCTAATACTCTAATAAAAAGATTCTTGTTCATTAAAAATCTCACCCCAAAGCAATAGTCCAACTTCGTAAAACAGGGTTATTTTTTATATAGTTTGTCAAACATGTTACAAAAAAGTTAATTTAATAATTTTTGTTGATCATATGTGCGCATACACATAAGCAAGAGTGCAAGACTTCATGATATGATTGTTGCTTGTTGGTGCTGCAGTATCAATTATTTTGTAGACATGAGAAAAGCGAATACCTCAACTCACTGTCATCTCGTGCTATTTTTCATGATGAAATAACTTATGATGATGGCGGTTTTAGATTTTTCATCTCATAATTCCCTCCTATGAAGATAGAGACATGAATTTCATCAAGCACAAAACATTGCCAATGCTTTTTGCATGAATTTATGGTGCTAATTATTTTTTACAATTCAATGATACTTAAATGTATTGGACAAAGGTACGGGAGTATGGACATTGAGATGGTTAGGGGAAGGAGGGGCCAAGAAATGATAAAATTAAACCAAATTTACATGTCACCATAACATCTTTACTTGGAGTTAAAATGTTAAATTTAAGATGGTTTTTCCATTTCCTTGACTCTTCCCAGCCCTCTCCCTACATATATCATCATCGAAATTTTGATATAACTGACACCAACATGTTGGGATTAAGGTAATGAGGGCATATCTTAAATTGGATGCACTTTGACTGTTGAATTTATAGGGTTTGTGGTTTCTGCTTTCCAATCTTCATATACTGGATTAATTTGTAGTTTTTACAATGTTACAGGAACTGGCAACTCACATTGGTGAGGTGGTCATGAACAAATGCTTCTGCACTCGAAGAAACCCCATCAGCATATCTGCTGCTGCAATATATTTAGCCTGCCAGCTCGAAGACAAACGAAAGACCCAAGCTGAAATTTGTAAGGTAACCGGACTAACTGAGGTCACCCTTCGTAAAGTGTATAAAGAGCTCTTGGAAAACTGGGACGACCTGCTGCCCTCAAATTATAGCCCAGCTATCCCCCCAGAGAAGGCTTTCCCTACAGCCACTATTGCATCAGGGCGTTCTTCGAACTCTAGGGCTGACATCATCATCGAAGCTATTTCTTCTGAGCGTGAAAAGCAAGCTGCTGAAGCTAAGGTGAATGATACATCCCACATGGCATTTGGGCCGCAGTCGGATAGTGACAAAAAAGGTCCAGTTGATGGTAGTAGTAGTGAGTGGAAGAGTCAAAATGTGGTTCATGCTATGGAGATTGATTCTCATCACCCTAAAACTCTTGAGGAGATACAAGTAGAGACAAATCATGCGATGGGCATTTCAGGTACTACAAGAATTCCAATACCCTACTTCTCCTCTCAGTTTGATTCTGGTGTTGTTCCGGTGTCTTGGCCGTTTCAGTTTGTGCAGCCACAGAAACACAATGTTAACCAAGACGAAAATGATCATGTCAACTAAATTTGGTAGTCTTTGAAAGTGTACAGTATATTTCTTTGCTGGTTGTCTCATGTCACAGTGTAAGGGAATTGTGTACTTTGTTGTTATCATTTGCCAAAAGGCCCCCTTTGTGTCTTATTCTTATACTCCGAACTCCATATTTTACCATTGAAAGTAATGAAATTTATGTACTCCGTATTATATAGTACTCCTAAAATTTTCCCAATGAGAAAAGTGGCAAATAATAATATAAAAGAACAAGGAGCAAATTGAAAAGAGAGAAATACCTTTTGTACATGGCTGAAGGCTTACATGCCATTTATATGCCTTGTTTTATCTATGCAGAAATAATATTTCTCGTTTTCTAAGGTGAATTGTGCCACAAGACATTTGTCTTGTTTGTTAACTCACATTAAAAAAAAATGGACGTGTAAATGAAGCGTCTGGCTTTGGTGTGTACAAGAAGAACTGAGGACGGATGTGTTGGTATTTTTTCTTCATCATTCATATAATATGGAGTACAAATTATTACCTCGGGGGGCTGAGTGTGTTGGTATATACCGACATACGGAGTATGTCTGAAGGGTTAAGAATGCCATTTCTAACATCAATGTCCCTTGTCGGCTGCCATGTGGCAACCATGATTAACCTCCTGTTTTTACTCGAGTGGTTTCAGTCCCAGATAGACTAGATTAAACTTAAACAAGCTAGATTTAGACAGATGAGATCAAACTTTGATAGTTGTAAAATGCACAAATACCATGTAGTAGACAAGTTTAGACTAGACAAAAAAGACTAGTCCAAGTAAGAATATCTTAAATTCCCTAAACCACCGAAGTGACAACTGAATTATCATCCTTAATAATCTTCCACTTAATACTATCCTGAAAAATGTCCTAAAGCTATTTTCTTGAAAATACCACGTGAACAAAGGACAAGTTGCAATCAGGGGTAGAGTTGGGGGGTAACCTAGGCCTGGTCCACCCCAAAATTTAAAAAGATTCTTAATTTTTAAGGTAAAAATATTCATGTAAAATTTATTCCAAAAATATTCTTTGTAACGGCGGTGAGATAACTACATAAACATCACGTTGTTCTTGGGGATGCAGACATATAACATGCCAACCATGGGAATGTTAGTACTCCTAATGCTTTTTATAACATAACTCTCCAACGCAATTGGGTTTACACATATGACAGATCTCTCCATTGCTTACAATGAGAACTAAGACCGGCCGGTCCTGGGCCCGAAATCGGACCAGACCAGGTCCACCACCACTTTGCAGTTAGATAAAAACTTGGCATTCCAACTTTGAACACACATGACAACATGCTCCTATGAACCAAGGTGTTTCTATTGCTTCGGTTCTAGTCAACACATCACACCACATAGGGCCGTCTTTTAGGAAGTGGAATAGGTGCTTAGCACCGGGGCCCACTTATATAGGAGGCCTCTATAAAATTTAGTTAGTAGTAGTAGTCATAGGTTATTTTTCTAGACGTTATGTATTATTCAAGATTCCAAAAGGTGTATAACTTTTATACTGTCTAATTTATGTAGTTTAATGGGTTTAAACATGATAAAATTTACATTTCATTGAACCATCTAGTCTATTTGTATTTTATTGTTAACTTTGTACTATCTCTGTATTTCATTGTTAACTTTGTACTATCTCCTGTTTTAAGGGGTTTCAATTCGTCTTTTGGTCCTGACACTACCATAGTGAGCATGTAATGACACTCCTGTGGTAGTGGTGTTAGCCGTGAAGATTGTAGTCCCTATGTAGGCGTTAGGCGTGGATGAGTGGATCCCTCCAAAAGAAGAAGACCATCCAAAATAGTTTTTTTCTTTGAGTTCATTTTAATGATTACAATCGGGATTGGCCTTGAGCCATTATTATGCAAACTCTGCTTTTCCCTTGGTAGATTTTATTGCCTTATGAAAATTTTAAGTAAATTATAGCTCTAAAAATGTTCAGACATGGGTAAATTATTATGTATGTTAATTGACTTGATCATTTCTTCTTGAAAAGGTATTTCCTAAATACTTGTAGAAAATAATTTAGAGAATATGATACCAGTGTCTAGCCTTTAGTGGTTGCTATATAGGCTACAAAGAATCATGAAAACAATTATGTACAAAACTACAAATAATTGCAACATGTAAAATTTTACATTATTTACATCTTCTATAAAAAAAGTATTAATCACATAATACTTGTCTTTTACCACAGTGTGTTGGGGGCGGGGGGGCTGAAAAGCCTAGATAAATAGAGTTAGAATCCCTCTACGTAGTTTTGAACCCCTAAGATCGCAAGAGAGAATGAGTCGATGACCAGTTGGGTTAGATCGCTTCCTCACAGAATTATAGATGATCATTTTAGCTATTTTTAGCTATATTTTTTTCTTTATTTTATTAATAAAATATTACCTCCGTCCCGCAAAAAAGTTCTCACTTTCCTTTTATGGATGTCCCAAAAAAGAAGTTCTCATTTCCATAAAAGGAAATCGCTTTTATCCCAAAAGTCACAATTACCCTTACTTTTTATCCACTTTTTGATTGATTTTACATGAAGTTAGGGTAAACTTGAAAAGTCAAAACAACACTCTACCTTACACAAGTATGTGTGTAGGTCAAATCGAGAACTTCATTGTGGGACAGAGGAAGTATATTTTAATTTTTTTTCTTAAATCAACAAAATGAACCAACACGGTCACTTTAATCAGAACTTCACAAATTTCAACAGAATCAATTAAATCAACCGATTTTCGTGCTACAAAACGGGCTCTAAAAATATTTCCCAAAAATAGTGCTATGAAACTTAAAATGGCTACTTTGCCGAACACTAGACAAATTTTGTTTGTGCGAACATTACAAATTAAAAGGAAATTACAAGTACACTGCTTTTGCAAATCCATTACCCGAACATGTTTGATTGTTTTCTTACAGTGCAGGGAGTAGCTTTTTCTAAAGAGGCGTAAAACCTAGCTAGTTAAGCATCTGGAGTGAGTACGACGGCGGTGGAGATGAGTAGCGGCGCCCCATTCCTTCCAATAGAAATCATCTCCGACATTCTCAAGCGCCTTCCGGTGAAATCCCTAATCCGATTCCAAAGTGTGTGCAATCTCTGGAAGAATCTCATCAAGAGCCCATCTTTCATCGCCAGCCACCTCGACCACTCCGGCCGAGAATATCCCTCTTTTATTTCCAGGTGTGGGCACACCGTCTCCGGTATCTCGTTTCACTCTTTTCTCGACCGGGACATGCAACTCCGCCGAGTTCAGAACCATACTTTATTCTATTCAATCAAGTACCCTAGGATCGTCGGCTCCTGCAACGGCTTGCTCTGTGTTCAAGATAAGACGCCTGGTTCTTTCATGTCTCCTCTTTACTTGTGCAATCCTGCGATCTCTGAGGTTATACAGGTGCCTAGAAGCAGACCAAGCATGGATCTATGTTATCTTTCTAGTGTAGGCTTTGCATTCAGTCCAACTATTAATGACTACAAAATTGTCATACCCTATGTGAAGCAGAGTGATATGGAATTTGGATTTGAAGCTTATTCAGTAACCACAAATTCATGGAAGAATATAGGAATGGGCAGCTTTAAGGGCATACGTCATTGCACTGATGGCATTACTTTGAATGGGTCTATGTTTTGGATTGCATCACAGAGAGGTTTGGCAATTCATGAAAGAGAATATAATGTCATACTTTCGTTGGATTTAGCAATGGACGAGTTAAGATTGATACTGCTGCCTCCTTCATCTTCGAAGGATATTCCGATCTTGACGGTGTATGAGAACAGGCTTGCCGCATTTCAAACCTCTCTTACTATAAACCCAAGAAATTGTTTGATCGAATTGTGGGTGATTGAGGAAGGCATTGGTAGTTCTTGGAGCAAAATATTGAGTTGTGGCCCTTATCCACACATTGTAGCGCCGTTGACCATTTGGAGGAACCAGATTGTCTACGATGTTTTTCCTGAATATTCAGTAGAGGGGTACGATGATGATGCTGCTGGTAGTTTTATGTTTGATCCCACTTCCAATGAGGTCAAGGTCCTTTGTTCGGGCAGACATGGCACTCTTGGTGCTGTGTTTCCATATGTTGAAAGCCTTGTACCCATTAGCAACATCCACACTAGAAGTCATTGATTTCAAAGCGTAGTCGTTGTTTAATTGTTATAATGCATTGCAGATTTACTGATTGTATTGGCTCTTTGTAGACAATGATTACTTAATTGTATTTTCCTAGTTGTAGAACATTTAAAACGCCTCTTAGAGACTCGAAGGCATTTTATCCTACAAGTTATTTGTTACCTTTATGGGATTACATTGCACATTTTACATTCGTATGTTATTTATTAGTCTATGTAAATGTATTGTTTCCCGGTTTAGGTTCTAGCAACTTTTTTGGAACAATATAATTTGTATTGTTTCTTTTAATCTCTCGCCAAACCTAGAGTTCGAGTTTTAGAATTACACATGTTCTTCCATTTAAAATCATTCAGAAACTATGTAATATACTATCGTACTAGTATTCTCACTCTGTGTTGTGTTGCATGGGATAATCAGTATTCTAGATTTTTCGAAATTAAATAAATCTTCAATCCCTTTCGAACTTGAGTTTACACTTCATATACTCTATACATCATAAAAATAGTACTCCCTCCGTCCCTAAATGTTGTTCCAATTGCGGATTACGAAGGTTGACCGATGATAAAGTTAAATGATCCCTGTAAAAATTCAGATTATTTTTAGTAAATAAAATTTACATATTCAGAAACTACATTAAACCCGCTACAAAGCCTGCAAAAAATAATTCAACTTTTATAAAATTTTGATATAAAAAGTAAGAGTTTAATAGTGATTTAAGTTGACCCTCGATAAGCGAAATGGAACTTCTTTTAGGGATGGAGGGAGTATAAGAATCTTGTTTATATGTCTAATTCCAAGTATTTTTATTTGGCAAGTTTGTTATAATATACGTAGTATAATTTTGTAAAATCTTATGATTTACGATTCCGTTAAAAAACCTTTGCTGATTTGATTTTCTTTAGGCAAAATTCATTGTTGATTTGATTAAAAACACAACTTTAACAGTGTCTACGAAACCTTTACTGATTCGATTAAAAACACGACTGTAACAGTGTCTACGATAGGGCTGAGCACGAATCTGGAAATTCCCGTTCCGTACCAAAGAACCGTCCTGAACCGTTCCAGAACTGATAGAACCGGAAAAATGTAAAACCGTACCGTACCATACCGAGCTTTTTTAATAATATGGTACAGTACCGGTTCTTAGTGAGAACCGTTCCGGAACCATCCCGGAACCGTATTGTCCCGAATTGTCCCGTCTAAACTAAAAAAGGATATAGCCTATTTTCACAAACAGAACTTAAAATAAAAAAAAAAAGTGATTTTTGTTCTTTATTGGGATGTTTAAAATATTACCATATATAACACAAAATTTCCCCCCGATTCTTTGCAGTCGAAAAACTAGTGTTAGATTATAATAATATACTACGTATGTGACATGCACTTTGTCGTGGTGTGCACTCAAAATAATTAATCAATACAACACTAATACGTAGTATAGTGTAGTAAGGTTCGTATCTACAGGGAAAGAAACACTTCTCTTTTTATAGAAATAAATAAGTAATAACAGGGGGTTTTTATGTTTGGTTGATGAATTTTAAATTATATTTAAGCACGAAGATGAACGAGTTATGTGGTTTAATTAATGAGAAGGAGACTTGGTTTTGCATTTATCCACTGTATGAAATGTTCGTCGATCCCAGTTATATCTTTAACTATCTTCCTCTCGAATACTCAATCGAAGAGTATATCCAATTCATCGAGGGTAGTTATTAATAACGAGACACGTTCATTAATAAAACTTACTACCGAGTTAATATAGAACAAGCGCCGTATATTCACTCGATAGTAGCAATAAAATCAAGATGAAAACGATTGAGATTGATAACCTCAACACAAGCGGTTTATTGGTTTAATCAATATAATTAATTCCCCTTAGTTTATTAACCATGAAACGCATGCATTAATAACCCAAGTTTACTACCGCGAAAAGACCGAATTAATAACAAGCGTATTAATCGACCGATTCTAGTAATAATTAATATATGAAACAAAACTAGTTGATCCTTTAAGTAAAGTTCAAAATATTAATATGAAATATGAATAGGAATTAATTAACACTCAAGGAAGAATATTAAAGAAGCTGAATCCTACTATAGTTAACGTCAAGATGTTAACTAATTGTCATCTTAGTAACACTCCCCAATATTAACACAGAGGAAGAAATAGCTATTACTATAACTAATGTCAAGATGTTAACTAATTGTCATCTTAGTAACACTCCCCAACATTGATATAGAAATAGTATTTAAAGGAAGAATTAAAATTCAAGGAAGAAGATTAAAGAGAATAACTCACAACTTACAAATTCATTAAGCTTCAAAGTAGCAAAACCAAGATATGGAAGTTTAGCTCCTCATTTGGAGACTAAACATGCTATAAAAATATAAAAGAAATAATATTCTAAACTGAGCTTAAGAGTATGGAAGAAGGAATGATTCTTTGTGAAGGAAAAGTGTGCTATTTATAGGTGTTTTTCAACACCTTGGGCCGGGTACCCGACCGGGTCAAGTGCCTACCCGACCGGGTCCGGTCAAAATCAGATATCCTCCATGTTCTGGTGATCTTCGGCACGTTCTGGTGTTCCGGGTCAAGTCGGACCCGACTGGGTGGCATAGGGGACCCGACCGGGTCTGGCACTTTCCTTGCTTCTTCGGTTGTTAAATCTTACCCGACCGGGTGAGGATTTCTACCCGGTCGGGTTTTGCTCCCGGCAGTCAAATTTCTTGTTTTATTCTCTTCAAAGTCCTCTTTTCCAACACCATAAATCCTAAATCTACTTTACAACTTATAAATGAAGATTAAAATACAATTACAACTAAAATCACACAAATGTTTACAAACTAAATAAAACGATAAACTATACACACAAATCAAACATAAAAACATACACTTATGCACTACTAATTAGTGCATATCAAACACCCCCACACTTGAACCTTTACTCGTCTCGAGTAAACCAAATCCAGCCTAAGAAGTCCTTAAAATGACAAGAGTATCAACACCAACATCCACGTGTGTTTTTACAACAACACAAAAAATATATCCCAAAAAATATAAGAGTAAAGAGGGTCTTCAACTCCATATTTTTTATCAACCTCATTTTTTTATTGTTACCCTTAGGATCCTGCAGAAATAAAAGAAAATATTTTCTCTCATTCTCTCATTTTGCCTAGGTGCCCTTTCGGGTTTTCATCCCAGCTTCCCACATTTTTCTGTTTTAATCCTCACAACTCACTCATTTTTGCCTTATTTTTGCTTAAGTTGCCTTTTCATGTTTTCAACTTAACAAGCTTTTATTTTTTTTTTTGTTTTTTTTTGTTTTTTTTTAAAAATAAATACAAGAATATAGAGTATGAATGTGAGTTTTCCATGAAATTCTCCCTCAAGCTAATCAAAGCACTGTCCCTAGTGCTTGTGTCCGAGATGTCCAAGAGAATGAATCTCTTTGCCCTTTTTGGTGTCATTTCTTTCTTTTTGGGTGAGGAAATTTCGGCTTTTGTTGTTTGTGGAGTAAGGTGATTTGGATTTTTGGTGGGTTGTGGGTGTTTTGGTGGGTATGGAAATGTAGAGGGTGAGGAGGAGATGAAGAAGATGGGTTTATTTGATGGATTTGGTGTAGAAATGGAGGAGATTCAAATGTATGAGGTTTGAAAATGGTGGAAATGGGAGGTTTTTTTCGAAGGTAGGGGATGAAATGGGGCAGAAGGGGGTCTGCCCGACCCTTATCAGAGGTTTTTCCCGATCACCCGGCCGGGTGGGTTAGTGGACCTGGTCGGGCCTAAATGTCGCTTATCCAGAGAGTGTTTTAACACAAACACCCGGCCGGGTATATAAATTGACCCGGTCGGGCGTATTTATTTTTCCTCTGTTTCACATCTTCCTCGCCCGGGCGATTTGGCCGGATGCTGTGTTCTATGAAGGGCCCGACCGGGTTGGGTTTCATACCCGACCGGGTTCTTCCCCAAGTCAATAGTTTTTTTTTGAAGTGTAAACTTAATCTAGAATAAAAAGTAAACGTACCTTACCTTTCTTGAAATGCCGCCATCCCTGTTTTTATTGTTTGATTTGTTTTGGCACTTTTACTTCTTTGTGATGAATCACCTTCAAGTGCCCTCTTACCTTTCCTTATATCATCTCTTCCAATTTGTGAGATCTGAGGGATATGCGTGGAAGGAGATAAAAGAAATTGTCATTCACAGATTCGCAATTCCAAAACATATGTTAATAACTCAGTTACTCAACAAGTAAAATTTTTATCCTTTTGATTTATTTATAGTGAGATATTGGAAATTATACGTGTGTATGGTGAGCAATGCTTATTTTTACTTGCAAGTTATCAAATTTGAAACTTTTTATCCAATTCAGGGTGTCAATTGAAACTTTTTTTAGTTCAAGGCGCGAATTGAGCATTACGGACAGGTAAATAGGCCTATTTGACCCTTTACCTCACTCTTAAATAATTGCAACATGTAAAATTTCACATTATCCACATCTTCACGACATTTTATTTATTAATTGATACAAAATATTTTATTTTAAAAAAATATTATTCAATTCCTCTCATTACAAATTTTAAAAATCATTTTTTTTCCTAGTAGAAAATAAGGTATATTGATGGCCAAAGGTGTGTGCTACCAAATGTGTAAAGTTGACTGTTACAACTAGAGAACGGGAGTAAAAAGAATGTTAACAAATATATTAGCCTAGCCAAAGCTAGATTAGTAGCTATTACAACACAAAACATTCTTTTTGTACACAGGATTAGTACACAATTTGTGCATAACCCTCCTAATTATCTGTGTACACGAGCAATTCATTTGAAAAAAGACAGAATTTTATGTCAAAATTCACATGTGCACGGGCAGTGTACAACTTGTGTACATATTTTGTGCAAATCAAGAATTACTCTTTTATTAGACAATGGTCCATACAAGCTTACAAATCATTCCGAAGGAATTGGGGCCCCTAACACATCCTTGTCTCAAGATTGCTAACATCCAACTTGGAGTTAGGATATCTTTACTTGGACCACCAATCCCAGATCACATCAAATCAGATCAGATCAGATTTGAATTGTTATAACTTATTAGATACACATAAACCAGACGTTTACCAGATCAGTTCAAACCACCAGAAAATTCTAGTCAAAGTAAAAACATCCTTATCATGCCGACCATCCCACTGTTGGCTCAAGCCGCAGTTGCCGGCGAATTTCGCTAGAAGCCGCCGCAAAAAAATCACCAAAATACTGTTTGAGTTTTTTTTTGTTTTCATTGGATAAAACTTTCGACCGTCGCAGTGACATGTTAATTAGAGAATAATTATGTGAAAAATTCGAAAAATCACCTTGATTTGAAAAACTTTATTATTTTATCTACTAATAAAATAAACAGTCTCACATAAAATATCACATAATACTTTTCTTTTACCCCGGTGGGTCGGGGGGCGGGAGGAGTTGGAAGAGTCTAGGATTAAATAGGGTCGAAACTCCTTTCATGGAGTTTCGAACGCAAGACTTCTGAAGTAAAGGGGATTGAGTCGACAATCCGTTGAGCTGAATTGTTTGCTCATATACGGAGTATCACATAATTCAAATAAAAACCCTTGACCTATGCTTACATCTTAATTCATATAGGATTCAAGATGACTTAATTTTTGGGAAAACTGTCAAATAGGTCCTCGAACTTTCATAAAAAGTCAATTAAGTCCTTCTATAGGAGATTTTGTCCGATCATCGCGATTTGGGGCGGTTCCCGGAGGAATTTTTTGATGAAATTTTTTTAGCATCGTATTCATCAAGTCTAGTTTACTCATACCAAATTTCAGCTAAAAAATTAATCGGGAGCGCATTCGAATTAATTCGAGAACGCAAAAATGCGCAGTTATCTTTAAGAATTAATTTGAATGTGTTCCCGATTGAATTTTTAGCTAAAATTTGGTATGAGTAAACTAGACTTGGTAAATAAGATGCTCAAAAAGTTTCATCAAAAAAATCCACTGGGAACTGTCCCAAATCGCGACGGCCGGACAGAACTTCCTATAGAAGGACTTAATTGACTATTTTATGAAAGTTCGGGGACCTATTTGACAATTTTCCCCTTAATATTTCGATGATGACAGAATCTAAACACCCCTGGTATAGTAACTTTATTCATCATCACAGTTTTAAATTTTTTTTTAGGGAAAGTTTCCGAAATAGGACTAAAATAGTTTGAAAATTCCAAAATAGGACTTTCATGTTTTTTATTCCCAAAATAGGAGTAATTACTGTCAAGTTTGGAAAATACTGCCATGTTTGAAAGTCTGGCATTGCCAAAACATGGCAGTAACTAGTCCTATTTTGGGAATAAAAATATGACAGTCCTATTTTGGAATTTTCGAATCTTTTTAGTCCTATTTCGGGTAATATCTCTTTTTTTTATTGTGCGAGCATTGCAAATTAAAAGCAAAATAAAAACACACTACTTTTACAAATCCAATTTTTTCCAACATGTTTTTTTTACTATTTTTTCCTAATCATCCCACTTATATTTTTGGGGGGCACTTTTGTCTTTAAACAAGTAACAAGAATGAAACTCACGCTCCTAAAAATCGAATCCTTCGTTCTACGCATCTTTTGCTCCAGAAGAAGGAACGAACACATGAAGGTGCTTGGAAGGTTAACTCCAAAAAAATGGCGGACTCTCCTCCTCTAAGAGATGCGGCCATCTTTAACAGAAACAGCATGTACTTGAACAAAAAAATGCGATTTTAAATGTTTAGGAGAAAAGAAAATGAGTTGTGCAGCTGGGTCCGAATGAATTTGGTGTAACATCAATTCTGGATCGCCATGAAGCATGCCATTCAATGTCTGATGCTCTTCAGGCGAGGTGACCAGTATTCTCCACTGTTGGAATGCCTAAACCTTGTCTGGTCATCATCTAGATGATGTCATGACAACCAAATTGACTACTTAATGGCATTTAACAACCATGAACTTGTTTCCCAGTCTTTCAGTATGCTTTGGTTTTCCCTTTATTTTATTAAATGAAATGAAGCATTTTTTACTAGCTTTCAGTTTCCTTTCACTTAAGCTATGTCTTAGATCAGATATTAAAGAACTTTGTTCTTAATATATGCTTACACTTGTAGAATTATATTGTGGAGACGATGAAGAGAGCGACCGTAGCTATTCTCATTCTGAACTAGAGAAATTCTCAGACAGTGATAGAGATGAAATTAATCAGGATAATATTGAGTGTGAACAAAATGTGGACTTAGGTGTTGAATATGTTGTTTTGTTGAGGGATGAAGAGCAACTAGCTCTTTGGTGTACTTCACAAAGGTTGGTCTGACCCTAACTTATCTGATGATGATTCTTTAGAAGATAGAGACAGTGATGCTCAAACTGCAAAAAAGCTGGTCATAATTGTAGGAAGTGTCTAGATGATCCCAAACTTAAAGATAAGTTGGTAATAATCTGGTTTTATAGTTATTTTATATACTTCTAATTTAAAATTATATTTATTCAGTTATATATATGTAATTGTAATTTCTTGATACGTTTACCACCTTTGTAGCCTAGAAAGCACCAACAAGAGTTCCTGAAGCCCAAAAAATGTTGCAGCAGAACATACAAAACACTGAGGAGCACATTAACAAAGAGGATGCCATTTTGAATGAAGAATGTATAGCAGGTTTTCAATATAACAACCCTGATATGCCCGCTGGCAATTTGAATAACCTAGATCATGATTTGGAGTTGGATAGTATTAATGGATCATTTGATGTTAATCCTCTACTAGTTCATGATGATACCCTGTCTTGGGTAGATATGCCTACTCAAAATAAGGCAAGTGAAAGAAACAACGTTTGTGATGGGGGGCAACTCTCTAATATCAAAATGACAAGCTATGGTGTGAAGTTTGTTTTGGAGCTCCTTACGGTAAACTGAATGTCAAAAGGACAAAATGAAGGACATATGGATTTGGCTTGCACAATGTTTTTTGTCAATTATTAATGTAATGTTAGCCAATCACTTTTGTATGGTTTTTGATCATGTCAATGCCTTAGTAATGTAATGTTATTAAAACTCATTGTTTATAAAACTTAAATATTGAATGTTAAGTATGCGTAATGTTACTTCCAAGTTATTTGTTTATTGTTCTAGGCAGAAGGGTGTGGAAAAAATATACCGACTTTTGCTTAACTATTGTTGTATGGTGGAGCATATATAGTTTGTGAATATATTTAACTTCATAGAGACACTTTCATGTCTTCTGTGAAAGCAAATGTGTTGATTACATACTCAAGAATTTCTCCTTAAAGTCAAATCTTTTAACCATCTCTCTGAAAATAATACAAAATAGGTAGATGCATATGCAGTGCACACAACCACATCGAGCCTACTTTGTTTGGCTATAGTTCTTTTTTTTTTACTCCAGGGGGTCTGGGGGAGGGGGGCTGGGGGGAGCCTGGAGTAATCAGGGCTGAAACCAACTCCATTGAGTTTCACACCCTTGTCACCTTGTGTGCCTAGCGGGATTCGAACTCGAGACCTCCCACTAGGCACGGTAACCTCAAAACCAGATGGGCTGGAATGCTTGGTTAGCTATAGTTCATTTCTATTCTTATATAAGTTAGTTTGAAATCTTTCAACCATCTATAGTTCCTTCGTATTCATTATATAACTTAGTTTATGAAGGCAACCTTATTTGGCTATACTGGTTTGTATATTTTCACTATGGGCTAAATTCAGACTGAGGTTTCAATAATTTAGTCAAATAATGTTAAAGTTACTAGAGGTATATGTGGAGTTGTCAAGGTTTAAATAGTGACAGCCTATAGTATAAATATATTGAAAATTTATGTTCTGAATGACATTTTTGAATGAGGAGTGTATAGCAGGTTTTCACTATGTTTCTAACTTGACTATCTCATATAATGTAATGCTCACTGACATTTAAAGCAGGTACTCCTACTTGTTTAGTTACCGATGTGTTATGTTTCCAAGTTGAACCTACTTGGTTTGTCCATGCAATTCTGTTTTTGAAGTATAAGTATCAGCGGGAGGGCCTAACTCAAATGACATGTCAAACGAACTCTGATTGGGGCGAAGTTCTGGCAGCAACTTCCTAACTAATGGGGCTAGATGCTGTCCAGTTTATTCTATAATCCGAGGTCTGTAAGTTTTGTTTTGAGCATGGTTTGTGTACTATAAGTTCATGGTTTTTACTTGCAGGATTATTTTTTCATGAGCTGAACTTTCTACACACAATATGCTTGATCTTTTTTAAAAAAAACTCCCAAGTTTAAACCCATTTACTAACTATGACAAGTTTAAACTCATATACTCAATGTGTATATGTTTGCTTCTTAAGCTTTCACTCTTTTTTTACTCCATCTACATTCAATTGTAGCAAACTAGTTACACCTCCCTATTACAATAAACGTTTCCCATCCAAAGTCTTGATTTTAGTTGCCATTTTCAGGGTTACAATGAAACAAGCTACAAAGCTAACAATAACTATTGTGTCATTCTTAGGAGTAAAACTCCAACACAGTTTGTCTTTTTGCCCTGTGTACTGCCCTTCCACAATTGGTTACAAAGTCATCAAGCTTCCAGAATGCATGCCTCTGTGGATAGAGCCTCAATGTTCAGTTCAACATCATCATCTTTGACATCATTCCCTCGCTTTATAATTTCAAACAACTAGTTTGTCTTCTCATCAGGTAAATTCTATAAACTCAACACCCTAGATTGAAGTTTACGTTTTTCCTTCATACTAATCTCCCTCTTGGTTGGATCTCTAGCACTCAACTTTTGCTCTTTCCCACTTGCAACTATCTCTAGAATCAGTGGCTCCATATGAGACTGTGGACGGATTTGAGGCCGTGGAAATGAATATGTTGATGCAGTGGATTAGATTTGCATATGTCTCACCTCTTTAAACCTGCGGTCCTGGAGACTGGAGTAGTGACAAAGAATAACAAGATCCACTCGCCAAGCTGTTATACTCACGCCTGGATTTCGAGGAAAAAGAGCTCGCCATTTTTTTGGGATAGAAGCTTGCTAGGGTTTTTCTTCTCCAGTGGTTCTTAAAGCTTCATTCATCTGCAGAAAATCAAAAGCAAAGAGATAAGTGATCATATAGATTTATTTAAAGACAATAAAGACCCTTAAAAAACAACTTTTTATTCATTAAAGGTCAGGAGGCATCGGGTAAGTGACCGGAGGACCAAAAGTGTCTGAGAGTATAATAGTCATGCACCTAAAATGAGACTTTTCAAAGAAGAGGACTAAGCATGAGACTTAAGTAACAACTCTAACAAGAGAGTTTCCGCTGTTTAGGTCTAAAGAGGCGTAAAACCTAGTTCAGCACATGGGGTGAGTAGTGAGTACGAAGGCGGCGGAGATGAGTAGCGCCGCCCCATTCCTTCCAATAGAAATCATCGCCGACGTTCTCAAGCGGCTTCCGGTGAAATCCCTAATCCGATTCCAAACTGTGTGCAAACTCTGGAAGAATGTCATCAAGAGCCCATCTTTCATCGCCAACCACCTCGACCACTCCGACCGAGTAAATCTCTCTCTTATTTCCAGGGGTAGGCACACCACCGTCTCCGGTACCTCGATTCTATATTTTCTCGACCGCGACATGCAACTCTGCCGATTTCAGAACAATCCTTTTATCGATTCGCTCAAGCACGCTAGCATCGTCGACTCCTCCAACGGCTTGCTCTGTGTTCTGACTGGGCTGCCTGGTACTTTACTGTCTATTTACGTGTGTAATCCTGCGATTAGGGAGGTTATAGAGGTGCCTAGAAGCCCAAGCATGGATTTACCTTATATTCCCTTTTTAGGCTTTGCATTCAGTCCAACTGTTAATGACTACAAAATTGTCATACCCTATGTGCCGCGGGGTAACCACAAATATGCATTTGAAGCTTATTCAGTAACCACAAATTCGTGGAAGAATATAGGAATGGGTAGCTTAAAGGTCACATCTCATCCCTTTGGTTATATTACTTTTAATGGGTCTATGTTTTGGTTTACATCACAGAGAGGTTTGGCATCTCATGAATGTACTGAGGTCATACTTTCGTTGCGTTTAGCAATGGACGAGTTTACATTGATTCCACTGCCTCCTTTGTCCAGGAAGGATGAAATTGTGAAACTGACAGCGTATAAGAACAGGCTTGCCGTATTTCATTGCTCTCGTTGTTTAAACAGAGAAAATATTTTGATCGATTTGTGGGTGATTGAGGAAGGCATTGGTTTTTCTTGGAGCAAAATATTGACTTGTGGCCCTTATGGCCCTTATCCAGGCATTGTAGCACCATTGACCATTTGGATGAACCAAATTGTCTGCGATGTGTTTGTTACATCACAGGAGGGCAATACGTATAAGATTGATGGTGCTGGTAGTTTTTTGTTTGATCCCACTTCTAACGAAGTCAAGGTCCTTTATTCAGGCAGAGATGGCATACTTGATAGTGTTTTTACGTATTCTGAAAGCCTTGTACCCATTAGCATTGATTTTAAAGTGTAGTCATTGTTGAATTATTATAATGCATTGCAGATTGTATTGGATCTTTTTAGACAATGAGAACTTAATTGTTTGTTACTTGATGTGATTACATTTGCACATTTTTTTACATGTTGTAAACACTTCGTATGTTATAAGTCTATGCAAATGTACTGTTTCCTAATTTAGGTTCTGGCAACTTTTTTTATATCCATGTAATTTGTATTGTTTCTTTTAATCTCATGCCAAGCCTAGAGTATGAGTTTTACAATTACACAAGTTTTAACATGTTACTTGTCTACTCACTCGTGTGTTGGAAAGCAGGGTTTAAAATTGTAAAAACACCTGTTATGAGCTAGAAACAATACTCCGTAAGAATATTCTATGTATACGGGGTGATGTGAATAAACATTATTCTAGATTGTTCAATATTAAATAAATATTTTCAATCCCTGTACAACTTGAATTTACCCTTCATATACTCTGTACATCATAAAAATAGTAGATATTCTAATTCCAGTCATGAGAAAATTTAGTATTTTTATTTGGTAAGTTTGCTATAATATTTTTTTAAAATAATTTTGTATGTTGAATTCCCACATCGAAAAATTCTAAAGTTGTGTAGCATAAACTCATGAAGTGAAGCAATAGGATAAGGGAGTGAAATTATGGAAATAATGTAATCAATGGGATTAAATGAAACTAGAATCGAGATTTGATGCAAATAATATTACTCCGTAAGAAGTCAAGTAATCATACAGCCCAAGCTGCCCAAAGTAGGGTTTGCAAGAAGAAATCTCATCCAAAAACTATGGATTTCATAACAAATTAAGGGATTGTATTTATACAAGGGAAAAATCGGGGGAACGCCGAGAAGAAACACCTTCCCTTTTGGAGAAACGCCGGAAGGAACGCTAATTGGAACGTCGTGCCTCCTCGGCTTTCCTATATCTGCTTCTATATTTTCTTATAAAAAATACTCTCTCTAGGGGGAGGAACATATAGTCACTACCACTACCACTACTAGTATTATTATTACTATTATTATTTCCCGGAACCTAAATGTTTGCAATGCCTAGAAACCGGCATATTGTTTTAAGTTATGTCATTTGCACTCTTTATATCAGGAAATATCACTTGCTGCTAATTTACCCCAAAGGAAATCGGGAAGTATATCAAGATCCTCATAGAAGCTTTACAGTTAAGTCAACCTATTAATAGTAACTCTATATCCGTCCATATGTTGAGGTTCTGTACTGATAGGGTGAATTTCCTATTATGTATGTTTGTATTTTTAACTAGTTTTATTAGTTCTAGTTGTACAAATTACACACTTTTGGTGTAATACTTTATTTTCATTAATTATTTGTAATTTATTTAGATTAGGATTTTATTGAGCTTAGGACAGGTCAAAATCATCCCAAGAATCAAAGGATGGATCCTAAAGACCAAAGAATGTGCAAAAAGGAGAAGATCAAATGAAGATTTTGAAATTTGTTCAATACTCGGTCGAGTATTGCCAATACTCGGTCGAGTATTGGCCTGATACGCTGGTCAAAATCAAATCTGGGAGCAAAAGAACGTGGCCGAATATTTGATGAAAATCTTGTCGCATACTCGGTCGAGTATTGGCAATACTCGGTCGAGTATGCCTCCATTTCACAATTTCCTGGATTTTTTCCTCTCATACTCGGTCCAGTATCTCATATACTGGATCGAGTACCAAACCCTGCTACCTCTATTTTGCTATAAATACACCCCTTTTCCTTCACATTGAAAAGAACCAATTCACATATACTCTTTAGCTCAGTTTAGATTAGTGTTTTCTTTATATTTTCTATCATGTTTAGTCTCCAAATGAGGAGCTAAACTCTTCCATCTTGGTTTTGCTACTTTGAAGCTTAATGAATTTGTAAGTTGTGAGTTATTCTCTTTAATCTTCTTCCTTGAATATTAATTCTTCCTTTAAATACTATTTCTATATCAATGTTGGGGAGTGTTACTAAGATGACAATTAGTTAACATCTTGACATTAATTATAGTAATAGCTATTTCTTCCTCTATGTTAATATTGGGGAGTGTTACTAAGATGACAATTAGTTAACATCTTGATATTAACTATAGTAGGATTCATCTTCTTTAATATTCTTCCTTGAGTATTAATTAATTCCTATTCATAGTTCATATTAATATTTTGAACATTACTTAAAGGATCAACTAGTTTTGTTTCATATATTAATTATTACTAGAATCAATCGGTTAATACGCTTGTTATTAATTCGGTTCTTTCAATGGTAGTAAACTTGGGTTGTTAATGCATGCTTCTCATGATTAATAAGCCAAGGGGAATTAATTATATTGATTAAACCAATAAACCGCTTGTGTTGAGGTTATCAATCTCAATCGTTTTCATCTTGATTTTATTGCTACTATCAAGTTAATATACGGCGCTTGTTCTATATTGACTCGGTAGTAAGTTTTATTAATGAACGCGTCTCGTTATTAATAACTACCCTCGATGAACTGGATATACTCCTCGATTGAGTATTCGAGAGGAAGATAGTTAAAGATATAACCGGGATCGACGAACATTTCATTAAGTGGATAAAATCAAAGCCAAGTCTTCTTCTCATTAATTAAACCACATAACTCGTTCATCTTCGTGTTTAATTTATTAAACCAAATCAAACTAAAACCCCCCATTTTGTCACTAGTTCTATAAAAAGAAAAGTATTCCTTTCCCTGTGGATACGAACCTTACTTCACTATACTACGTATTAGTGTTGTATTGTATTTATTATTTTGAGTGCACACCACGACAAGTGCACGTCATGTACACTTCTCCAACTGAATAAATCTGCTCAGGTATTCCTCTATCTTTCTGTGGTGGCATTTGGCTTAAGTATTTGGGTCATGTTTGGTGCCAAATACAGACTAGAAAAGGCATGCTTTTGATTTCCTGCTTTTGAAGTTACACTATCATTAAACAAACCAAGTAAACTTAGAAGTATGACTTGCATAAATTCAGCAACATCTCTTATTTATCTATTTAGATACTGAGGTAATATAGATCTTCAATTCCATATTAGCAATAATAGGATTTACCGATTTACTATATTTGATAAATAGCAACTACTTCAACACATCCCTTCAAAACATGAAGATGCTGATATCTCATAGCTAATTATCCATTGGCATAGAGACATTTTCTGCTGCAGTAGCTAAATATCATATCCCTTTCCTAAAACAACTGTGAGCATAACCAAGAGACTTGGCCCTTGTTTGATTAGAGGGAAGGAGAGGAAAGTTGGAGTTTCCTGTGTTTTGTTGGGGGAGTTAGGGGGTGAAAGTTGAGGGCTATCGTTCCTCCAAATTCATCTTTTTCACCTTCTTTTAAAATCTAAACTGTTCTAACTGTAGATTACTTGGAACAAAACACAATTATAACAAAACTTGTAGCAAACATAACTATTTTATACTAGTATAATTTTTCTAAAATTGTTTTTTTTTTACTTTTCGCTTTGCCTCCTGAGCAAAGGTCACCATTACAAAAAGGTTGAAAAAAATATTGCTGAAGGTTTTGCTTTAGTTTAGTGTGGGCGAAATGACTGCAGTGTGTAAAACTGTAAGCAGATTTTAGTAGCAACAAAAGATTATTTTTATACTCCTCCCGTCCCCAAGAAAAAGATTCATGTTCATAAAAAATCTCACCCCAAAGCAAGAGTCCAACCTTATAAAACAAGGTTATTTTTATAAAAGGAAAAGGAAGCCAGTGGTAACATGTTTTAAAAGTACACACGTTTTAACATGTTTTAACATGTTGCTTGTATACTCACTCGGGTGTTGCGTGCACGGGGTGATCTGACTAAACATTATTCTAGATTGTTCAATATTAAAGGAGTGTTTGAGTTTGCTTAAAAAAAGCGTTTTTCAGCTTTTGACTTAAAAAAAGTTGAAAAAAGTGTTTTCAAATGACAGTTTCTACTTAAATTAATCACTTAAAAGCTAAAAGTTGGAAGCAGGTAGAAGGGTGCTTTAAACTGCTTCTCACTTTTTCTATTACCCAAAAAGTACTTATTTTACCAAACACTACCACCTTTTACTTTTTCAGAATCACTTTTTTCTCAAACACTACCAACTTTTACTATTAATCACTTTTTCCAAAATCACTTTAAAAAACCACTTTTTTAAAGTTGAAGCAATTGCAAACACTCCCTAAATATGGAGTAAATATTTTCAATCCCTTTAGAACTCGAATTTACACTTCATATACTCTACTCCGTACATCATAAAAATAGTAGATAGTCTAATTCCAAAGTCATGAGATAATTTAGTATTCTTATATGGTAAGTTTGGTTAAATATTTTTTTAAAATTGTTAATATATATTTTATACGTTGAAGTCTCACACCGAAAAATCTAAAGCTTTGCAACATACTTATGAAGTGAAGCAATAGGATAAGGGAGTGAAATTATGGAAATAATGTACTCAATAGGATTAAATAAAACTAGTGATCGAAGTGTACATACATATACTCGTTGTTAGTAAACTTAGCACTCCAACTTTGAACACCCGGGAGAACATGTTCCTATACATCATCCTTACCATTGCACACATTCATATCAAAGAGCTTCTTGATCATTTGTGCCAAATCCAACTCATATGTCCGGAGCATGTAACACACTCCTGTGGTGGTGTTAGATTGTAGTGCATATGGAGGCGTGGATCCCTCCATAAGAAGAAGGTGCCTTCTTCACCCAAAATATAGGAGATTAGCTTTTTTCTTGAGTTTATTTTAATGATTGTGATCGAGATTGGCCTTGAGCCATTACCAATGCAAACTCTAATTTTCCTTGGTTGATTATATTGCCATATGAAACTTTTAATTAACATTATACCTCAGTAAAATGTTCAGACATGGGTAAATTATGTATGTTTTGTTAATTGGTTTGATCATTCTCTCTTGAAAAGGTATTTTCTAAATACTTGTAAAAAATAGTTTTGAGAATATATAATGGTTGCAATATGTACAAATAATCATGAAAAGAATTATGTACAAATATGTTTGCCAGTGATGTTGATCAATGTACGTTCTTTTGTCAAACAAAATCGCATCTTCTTAATATTAAGTATGACCTTTTTTTTCTTAATATAAGTATGACCATTTAGTAAAGATGTGTAACAATTTGAATAGGAATAGTAAAATTATACTACCTCCATTCTTTTATTATTGCAACACTTGAAATTTT